TTTTATTTCATTCTCTTGTTTGAATGCATTGGCTAGGACTTCCAGAACTACATTGAATAGGAGTGGAGAAAGTGTGCAGCCGTCTTGTACCAGTTTTTAGTGGAAAAGCTTTCAGCCTTTCCTCTATAATGTCAGTTATAGGTTTTTGATAGATGACTTTTATTGTGCTGAGTCATGATCCTTCTGTACTGATTTTGCTGTCTTAATCATGAAGGGATATTGTATTTTGTCAAATGCTTTTTCTGCATCGATTGAAATGACCATATGCTTTTTATTTTCCTTTCTGTTAATATGGTGTATTACATTTTTGGTTTTGTGTATGTTGAATCACCCTTGCATCTCTGGAATAAAACCTACCTGGCCATGATGTATAATCTTTTTTATTTGCTGTTGGATACAATTTGCTAGTATCTCGTTGAGAATTTTTGCATCTATATTCATCAGAGGTATTGGTCTGTAGTTACTCTTTCTGGTCTTATCCTTATTTGAAAATGAGATGAGGGAAGCATCATAGAATTAATTTAGGAGGGTTCCTTCTTTTTGGATCTTAGAAATAATTTGAGTAGAATGGAGGTTACCTCTTCTTTAAAAGTTTTATAGAATTCAGAAGTGAAGCCATCAGGACCTGGACTTTTCTTTGTTGGGAGGTTATTTATTATCAATTAACTCTCATGGGTTGTTATGGTTCTATTCAGACTTTCTGTGTCCTCCTGAGACAATCTTGGTAGATTATATGTATCCAGGAATTTGTCATCTTATATTGGTTCTCTTGTTTGTTGGCATATCGAAGAACTTTTTGAAGTCTCCTCCTACAATGAATTTCCATTCTAATCATCTGTGCATCTGAGAGGTCTATAGCTAGACTAGCAAAATAAAAAAGACTTAAATAGGCCAAAAGTATTTACACAAAATGTAAAAATTTTGTCTATAGGACAGCTAATGTTGCTTCTGGAATTATATAAATATCTTTTAAGTAAATATTTTTCTTGAAATTAAGTTTGCTTACAGAGTAGAGTATTTTATTTAAAAATATTACTTAAATGTGACAAAATTCTTTCTAAAATAGTGGTCTCTCTTATGTGTCCAATGATTGAGGTATAACTTTGAATATTTTCTGCTCTACTCAGTATTTATTCAATATTGAATTTTTAAATTCTGAACTTTTGGGTGTTAAAAAGAGAATGCAACACTTTTGGTTCAAGGTTGCAGTATGAAGTCAACATTTCCCTCTGCTCCCTCAAATAAATTCTTACTGTATGAGCAATAAGTAAGTTTTTAGAAAATGGAATAAGCTGGTAAAAGCATGAAAACAGAAGAGACATCCAAGAACTGAAAGTTTTGACAAGAGAATGGAAATTAGATTTGGTAAGCATAATAGATTATACTCAATAAACTATAACAGGAAGCCACATCTCAAAAGAATTTTGAAATAAGAGAATGTGGTTGGTAACCATTTTTCCACAGTGGAGTCCCCAGTGATTAGCTGGTATTAAGAGCAAGAATGAGAAGAGAAATGCAGATGTTTGTGTGAAGAATGTGGGCTTCTTGTCTTGCTCTCCAACAAATGGTTTGGCAATGGTTTTGTCCCAGATAGAAGGTTCCAGTAGTGCTCTCAAAAAAACAAAACAAAACAGAACAAATGATCCGTTTTAATGATGCATGGTTTCAACCTGAGGTTTAGTACTCTAGAGTGGGATCCTTCATGTACTGATTTGATTTTGTTGCTTTTTTGGCTCGTTTGTTTGGTGGGGGTTTGGATAGAGACCCTGGCTTGCCTGTCAGCCTGATTCCTACCTACTTACCTAAAATAAAGCCTGTCTTTTGGTCTGCTAGTACTCGCAACCACCCTATGGTTCACAGAGGTCAGAATTGGCAGAGGAAAACAAACAGGCTTGCTTTTTCATAGGCATTTGAGGTAAACTGCAGCACAAAAAAGAAGCATCAGAGGCTGGGTTGTGTATTATGCACTATTAATATATTTGCAAAGGATTTACTAGAAAAATGCTTTATGATAAGCAAAAAACACAACCTTTTTTTTTTTTTTTTTTTAAGGTTTTTCCCATAGGGCATGTGCACTCGCCAGAAAGAGAGATAGACAGACCAAAAGACGGAAAGTGAGAAATCATCCTCTGGGCAGATGGCCACACCACAATCTCTTCTCTTCCATTCTCTTCTTGGGATTTTGGGCATGCATGCATGTGCACCTGTTGTGATTTTTCAATCTGCCAGGTCCAGGATTCAAACTGCAATTGGCCATGTAGAAGTCTACACCTTATCTGCTACACCACCTGCCGGCCCCTTGATCTATATACTATAAAGAGAAGATTGTCAATGTTTGGTGTGCCAAAACAAGGCACAATCGATTTTATCTTTGTAGATCTCTCAAATTCAGGATGTATCCACATCTGGTAGTGTGAGATTTTTCTTCTTTTAAAACTTTAAGGGCCAGCTGGGTGCCACAGCAGTAGTGTGCTGCTAAAGTGAATCTGGATCCTTAGGGAAGAGCATGGGTTTGGTTCCTCAGTGGGCCTATGCATGCCACACAGGTTCACCCATGATTCTGGCTTGCTGGGAAGGCTGGAGGGAACTGTGGCATGAGACCTTTCTGGCAGTTCTTGTCTTTCTTTTTCTGTCTCTGTCCCTGTCTCTCACTTTCATGGAAAAAATAAACTTGAAAAAAATAAAACCCAGTGACTTGTACCAATATCTATAAAACATTTTCTCCTATCCAATGAGTCTGAACAATATGCATCCCTGCCTGGAAAATAGATGTTTTAATGATATTTGGAGAAAAAAATAATAGATTTTTTATAATGGAAAGGGGAAAAACTTATAAAAAATTCTATCTAATATTTCTTTTTCGGGGGGTGGGGGAGGTTTTTGCTGTAGGGCACATGCACTTACCAGAAAGACAGACAGAGAGACAGAAAAGTGAGAAATCATGCCCCAGGGGGGATAGCCATGTTGCAAT